TTATTTTCATCAACAAAAACTCTTGCTGAACAGAAAATATAAAAACGCAAAGAAAGCGTTTGGAAAATCAATACGATGTTCGTGCAATAGTTAACTATCTAACTTTAAAAGTTTTGTTATATCGTTTGGGGGCGACGTCTGACCCTCGTAAAAGTAATAATGCGCTTGTTCTCCAAAACGAAGCAGCGTTACAAAGTTAATGGGAACGTTAGCCTTTTGTATTTAGATATATTATATTTATATTTTTCATTGGGCTTACGCAAGTCGCATACACAATTAATACTAATCACACGATTTAATCTCGATTTTTTATTTGTATTATAATTATATTATTTCCGAAGTTTATTTACATTTGTTTATTTAGTATATTTAGTTTTAATTAAAACATAGCTTTGCTTACAAAGTACTCCGTAAGGGAATTTAAAGTAAAGATGGTAAAATATGGCGAAGCCCGTGATACATATTTAAGATTTGAATAAATAAAGAAATAATTTTATTACAGAATTTCTATTAAACTATTGTATAAAAATATAATTAAGCTGTATTACCTATCTACCTGCACACCATTAAAGTATTCACGTCTAAAGTAAAAAAATATCATATGTTGTGTGTTTAATTTGAACTAACACAACCGCCTGCGAATCCCTAAAAACAATCGAAAAACTCAAAAACGAAAAAAAAAACATATATTGAAAATCAATGTTCATTTTAGTGAATATGTAGTTAAGGTAACCTACTTCCCTTTAGTCAATACCACCACAAGTATCTGTTAGATTACTTACTGGGAAGACACAATAAAACGTTTCTGTAAAATTAAAATTAAATAACATTTTTATTTTTATTAATTTAATGAATACAACGCGCGCTGTCAGTAACTTTAAGAGGCGTTCGTAAAAGCGTTAAAATACGTACATAATACCTGCTTCAGCTTATCACTTGTACTCAACGTTAACACTGGCATGTTGTTATGCGCGATGAGCGGATGTTGTACAGTGCGCTACACTCCTCCGGATATTATTTTGGGCCATTACATAAACAAAATAAGCGATTTGATGTATGTATGGATTATAATAGACGATGAAAATTTAAATTCTCATTGTATAGGTACAATATATTAATCAGTTATTTTAAAGGAAAAGACTGACTTTACTGGTGGTAGGACCTCTTGTGAGTGCGCACGGGTAGGTACCACCATCCTGCCTATTTCAGCCGTGAAGTAGTAATGCGTTTCGTTTTGAAGGATGGGGCAGCCGTTGTAACTATACTGAGACCTTAGAACTCATATCTCAAGATGGCGGCATTTACGTTATAGATGTCTATGAGCTCTAGTAACCACTTAACACCAGGTGGGATGTATGCTCGTCCTCCAATCTATGCAATAAAAACAAAAAATACATTTCGTTGTCACAAGCATGGACGAACACTTTTTTTTATTACTTACATGACATAGCCCACTCGAGGCTAAATGGTTACCGCAGACCATAGACATCAACAATGTAAAACCGCCACCCACTTTGAGATAAGACTTTTAAATCTCAGTTTTTTAGTACAACTGCTACCCTACCTTTCAAACCGAAACGCATTACTGCTTCACGGCAGATATCGACAGGGCGGTAGTACCTACTCTTACAGGCTCATAAGACACCTACTGCCAGCAAAACGTAAGCTCACATAAAAATTATTACTCTAATTGGTCTATTTTTAATACGCTTTTTATTAGCTTCAGACGTATGTATAATATGTTAGTATGTTATAATAGTATGTAACGGAATCTTTGAACATAATTTTGACCCCCTTCAAAACGTCGAATTAACTCAAAATTTGGTATACTTATTAAGGACCGATGACAAATCAATATTAAAAAAAAATTGAAAAAAAAATAGTAATTGAAAAACTTGAAATTCAACTACAAAATGAAAAATAAATAATAGTTTAAAAAAAGTAACAAAATACGCTTTTATAGAAAATCCATAAAATCCATCCAAAAAAAAAAATTATTTTATATTTTTTAGTTGGATTTCCTATAAAAACGTACTTTGGTTAGTTTTTTTAAACTATTATTTTTTTGTTTCGCTTTCGAAAAAATAAACTTACACTATAAACACTGATGAGCTTTCACCAGATTTCGAAGATTCAATACAAAAATATGTAGCTTGTACCACGGGTGCAATGACACGAACCAAATAAGACCGAAGTAATTCTAATATAAATTGTAGAAGGCCAGCTTCCATGTTGTAAGTGCTAATAAAAGAAAAACCGTCCAAGTTTCGTTTTATCTCGTAACGCGACTTTTGTATTACGCGAAAAGGATTGAAGTTAAAATATTACGAATTTTTCTCCGACTTCAAAAAAGGAGGAGGTTCTCAATTCGACTGTATGTTTTTTGTTTTATGTTTGTTACCTCATAACTTTTGACTGGGTGAATCGATTTTGATGATTCTTTTTTTATTAGAAAGCTGACGCTTCCCATTTCAATTTGATCTAGTTCTGACTATGGTATCCATGGGAAAACCATATAAGTTTTTAATTCGCATTAAGTACGTGCGCGACAAATAACTCAATATCACGACAATCGATTTCGATGATTATTGTTTTTTAGTGTACATATATGAATTTGTTTTGGAATATCTTGTTTTATTTTTCTATCTGAAGTCGGGTTTTTGTTAAAGCCTGTCTATTTACAATTATTACTGATGCTATTTTTAACTTTGTTTATCCGATCATTTATTAACATGTCGTCGGTTATTTTACGTGTGCAATGGGCGAAGCACCGGACCACTGCAAGCGATCGATGCAAGCGGCTGCGCACTGCTCAGGTCGATGCACCCGTCATCTGGCGCCCGTGACGTCACCACCCATCCAGGCGTCGTGCACTACCCTGCCCCCAGACCGTTGCGTAATACATTGCGTGCAATGTTCCCTTAATAATCTTCTTGTATTTACATGCTTTAGATGCGATGCTTCTAAAACCTAAGGTTTCGCTGACCAAGCTATGTATAATTTTTTTCCTACCTAAGCTGATAGAGCAGCCGTTCCCAAAGTGGGCGATAACGCCCCCTCGTCGGCGCTGCAGGCCTTAAGGGGGACGGTAAGAGACCCAGAAAAAAAATGGGGGCGTTGTGTAGAGGCTTGGGAGACGATTTGTAATTTCATCTAGGAGGACCATCAGACACCGACTGAGCTCTCGCTATAGTGGTTTTTAAGTAGGTGAGAAAATGGGGGCACTAAAAAACTATTTATTCTCAAAGTGGGCAGTAGACAAAATAAGTTTGGGAGTCCCTGGTCTAGAGAGACCATATCAGCGTAACCTTAACTACTAGGTGAGCTCACGGGGCTCAAACCTGACGATGATGCTAACGCGAACCCTAGTGCCCTAGCAAGAGCCGTGCTTCGCAGAATCTACCGCCGGGTCGGAAACGCGACCCACTGAGAAGATCCTGCGAGAAACTCAATGGGCTGTGTACGTGGGTTAATTTACTCGCCGAACCCTTCGTCGCAAGCGACGGGTTCGCTGATGATGACCGGAGCTTGGGGTACCTAAAAGCACCGTTAGTGGATCGGGAGGAACCGAAATGATGTGTTTTGGGCGACGTCGACTGTTTACCATTCGGTCCGCAGAATCGGCTATGTAGTTTCCGGCGGCCGCGATGAGGGGATTCTCATGTCGTGCCGCTTTTTTCTCATTGTACGTTTAACATAATTATTTTTACATTTTCTTTTTATTTTTATTATTTAATTACTAGATTACCATTTAGAATTACATTATTATATTATGCATAATATCTTATTAAATTACATTATTAAAGATTTCCATTTTTCTTACAACACTTGTGTTTTTTGTTTATTCTAAAACTAGAGGTCGCTACGAGGAATTTACTTAGGCATTGCAGTGATCCGATGATTTGTGTATGATTTAATATTAGCATTGTATATATCTGCATATTTCAGTATATACTTTTATATACAATTTATTTGTTCCTGTAATTTACTTTTCTTATTATTTTGGTGCAGTATTCTATGATTGTCGTGCCGCTTTATCGAAGTGGAAGCTATAGTTCTTCGCTGTTACTTAATAGTCAAGCATACAATTGTTATACTATACAGAATATATCGACGGGTGAGATAATTTTACCTAATACGCGACATTTATCTTTTTAATTAAAGGTCCGTTTTATTTGGTATTAGTATCAACAGTTTGATGTTTTTAATTGAACTTCAATTAAGTTTACCCCGTTCAGAGAGCTGAAGGAGTTTTTTTTTTTTTGTTATGATATTGTTTCCCAAACTTTAATCTTTAAATTTTATCTATCTTGTAAAGTTGAAGAAATGTCGCGTTAAACCAAACAGCTTTTCATCCCTCGATATAATATCAAAATTAACTTATCATGTGTGTGACTGAGTTTTTATTTTTAACTTTGAGCCAAACGCAGCAGTGTGTTTAGTGCGAGTTTTTTAACGTTCTCGATAGCGTAAAAGTTAACTCAAATTTGTATGGACTTGGAACAGCGCTCCTAGCGGCAAACGAAGGGAAGCTCTTCCAACTCCATACAAATTATAAAAAAGACAAGAAACAATTACACAAGTAAAAAAACTCGCTTCTTTTGTCCGTAAATCTTGTAAGTTGTATGATGCTAAGTTCTCTAATGCTAATATCTTTTGCTTGTCACTTGTAGCATATAGAAAAGCTATTTTAAAATATATATTTATAAGGTGATTTAGTCCTATGAGTATTATAGTTATATAGTGTAAGTTGATGTATAAAATAATATGTGCGTATTGTGTTGCTTTTGGTTTTTTTTGTAAATTAAATTTCTAAATTTCTCTTCTCTGTTCACTTTCTACTTATAATGTGATTTTGATTATGGAAACATATTTGGTTATTGTTTTAGTTATATTTTTTAAAATATTATTATATGTTTGTATTATACTGTTTGTTTCCCAAATAAATACATAAATAAGCATAATGGACTTATTTAGTGTAACAACGAAGGCACACTTACCGTCTGTTGTCCAGGTAGTTGTCGTAATCGTCGGGGGTGGTTTTGCCGTCGTGCATGTCGTACAGGTCGGTGTATATCGCGGATTCGATTCGGGACGGGTCCAAGTGGTAGTTCGGATTTTCGTATGAAAGCAGACCATTCTCTGTTGACAAAGAAAAGTTGGTATTAAAATACGGCTGGCGATAGGAGGTATGCGACCTCATGTCTCAAGACGGGCAATAGCATATCCATTGTGATATCTTTGGCTCCAACTATGTTTTTTTTTTATTGCTTAGATGGGTGGACGAGCTCACAGTCCACCTGGTGTTAAGTGGTTACTGGAGCCCATAGACATCTACGACGTAAATGCGCCACCCACCTTAATATATAAGTTCTAAGGTCTCAAGTATAGTTACAACGGCTGTCCCGCCCTTCAAACCGAAACGCATTACTGCTTCACGGAATAAGCAGGGTTAATTCAAATTTATTAAATAAGTATTTATTTTTGAAGTGAAACTTCCTTATCGGCGTTGGAAAAAAATTTACCGTCACATTTTTCGGTTACGCGTCACATTTTTCTGTTACGCGCCATCTTTTTCTTGCCCCTACCACGGTTGGTTCAGACGAAGAGTACTTTCACTTTCTCCAACGGAGTAGGGATAGCATTAATGTTTCACTTCTTACGTGTGTACACTAGTACACGCACACATTTTTTTTAGTTGGATTTTCTATAAAAGCGTATTTCGTTAGTTTTTTTAAACTATTATTTATTGAAGTGAAACTTCCTTATCGGCGTTGGAAAAAAATTTACCGTCACATTTTTCGGTTACGCGTCACATTTTTCTGTTACGCGCCATCTTTTTCTTGCCCCTACCACGGTTGGTTCAGACGAAGAGTACTTTCACTTTCTCCAACGGAGTAGGGATAGCATTAATGTTTCACTTCTTACGTGTGTACACTAGTACACGCACACATTTTTTTTAGTTGGAATTTCTATAAAAGCGTATTTTGTTAGTTTTTTAAAAAAAAAACCGTACCTAACCTAATCAATGGTAGGACGTATTATTAATCTCTACGGGTAGGACACGCCATCCTGCTTGTTTCGGCTGTGAAGCAGTCATGCGTTCCTGTCCATCCTGGCTGAACCCGTGCTCGCCCTTCGTGACGAGGTTGGGCAAGCCTTCGAGCCATTCATTACCTTTCTATCCAAATAAAATAACCTTTCCGGTTTGAAGGGTGGGGCAACTGTTGTATTATAGAATTGAAAGTTTGACCTTCCCTTTTATTGTGCTTATATTGATGAGCTTTGGAAATAAGCTTGGAAATAAGCAGATATCTGCATACAAATGTCATTAGGAAAAAATTAAAAAGATAACATAAAATGTATCATAATGTTTGTATGTATCTTTCACTGGTGGTAGGACCTCTTGTGAGTCCGCCCGGGTAGGTACCACCACCCCGCCTATTTCTGCCGTGAAGCAGTAATGCGTTTCGGTTTGAAGGGCGGGGCAGCCGTTGTAACTATACTGAGACCTTAGAACTTGTATCTCAAGGTGCGTGGCGCCAACCAAGAAATAAAAAAATAAAAAATAAAAATTGTCTTGAGTCGTCCGTGCTTAAGATTTTTAATAATTTTGCGAAAACTAGTTTGTATTAAATCGTGTAACAGACATTTAATTTACATAATATTGCTGACGGAGCGTTAGCAGAAATTTTTATCGACATCAAAAGAGGAAGAGGTTATTAATACGACTGTATTGTTTTATCTGTGTTACAAGAAAACTTTTTTCGATGCGAATTAATTTCGATAAGTATTTTTTTAAAAGCTTGTAACTCTCATTTAGTACAATTTTATCAAGATATGACAAAAAATATCGGTTTTTTATTATAATTTAACGTATTGCCATGTTAGAATACATATTTTGAAACGTGTTTCTGACGTGACAACGTCTTATAATTCGATGGAGCCGGCTGCACGCACGAAAAAACATGACTCATGCGGCGTTACCTTGCTCTGAGGCGTTCCATTTAAGGCTTGAAGTGCAAGCGAGAGCGCGCAACGAGCGAAAAGAGGCACAATCGGCCTCCGCGTTCGGCAGCGTTCGACATCTGTCTCTCTCCTACTTGAGTGAGCGATGCATCCGCGTGGACAGCTGCTATACAATAATACATTTATATGTTATCGTCAAGTATGAAGTTCAGTGAAAAGTGAATGTGGTGTCAATTGTTTATAGCAACGATAATTGCGATAATTGAAAAATGAAACCATTCCATCAGTATTTTCTTATGACGTTGTCACGTTCAACTATCGTCAGTAAACCGACTTTACAGACAACCGATTTTTTTTTTTCGGGAAAAATGCTATTTAATATGGCAACACAAATTAAATTCGCGACAACGGACAGGTAATGTCATCGCAATCGTTGGGGCTTCAGCCTCGTCTACATTAACTGATTCCAACCAAGTGCTAATGACATTGATGTACTAATGCCATGAGTTTTTTTTAATGCTTATAAGGGTGACTGCGCTCACAGCCCCCGCGGTAAATTGGTTGCTGGAGACAATAGGTATCACTACGTACAACACCTTGAAACATGAAGTCGTAGTGTAACAGCTTTGCCACCCTTCAAACCTTAGAAACCCTTCAACATTAGAAATAGGAGCAGGGGAAAGGTCCCTTCCTTCCATCGGTAATAATTAATAGCTAATTTTTACTGCTGGTAGGACGTCTTGTGAATCCGCACGGGTAGGTGCCACCACTCTGCCTATTTCTACCGTGAAGCAGTAATGCGTTTCGGTTTGAAGGGTGGGGTAGCCGTTGTAACTATACTTGAGACTTTCGAACTTATATCTCAAGGTAGGTGGCGGCATTACGTTGTAGATGTCTATGGGCTCCGGTAACTATTTAACACCAGGTAGGCTGTGACCTCGTCCACCCATCTAAGCAATAAAAAAATTATAAAAAACCTTTCGAGTCTTACACGAAAAGGATCTTTCTTCTTTATATTATACCTGACAGTGAGTGAGTGATCACGGTTACTCACGGATATTAGCAATGCTAGGGACATATTCAAGCCAATCCGTGCTCACGACTCGTGCAATGAAAGCCTCTTAGCGCTCAGGAAGCACCATGGAGGAAACACGCTCATGTTATCAGGATCAAAATTCGACCGGTATAGAGAGAGGCACGTGTATTGTCCTTAATTTCTATTAATGACGTTGTTTATCAGTCTGCTTAGTGCGAGTTTTTTTTAACGTTCTCGATAGCGTAAAAGTTAACTCAAATTTGTATGCAGTTCGAACGGCGCCCCTAGCGGCAAACGTAGGCAAACTTTCCAACTCCATACAAATTTGAGTTAACTTTTACGCTGTCGATAACGTTAAAAAACTAGCACATAGCAAACCGAGCAACTACAACACTGTTCTTAGACTTAGCCAGAACGTGCGTCACTGGCATACGAAGCGAATTTCCGATACTACAATTATGAGTCATGATCGTAGGTGTCATAAAGGTCATATTCCCATGCGGCGCTGATATGAGTAACGATCTGACCTCGCTTTACGTTTGAACCCTGACTTTGATACGAAAAATTATAATTGAACGATCTCTGATTCAGACTTCTGTACAATATCAATGGAATCTAAGTTTGGCGCGTCGTTGCGCATAGCGGTAGGCAGCGGCTTGGCTCTGCCCCTGGCATTGCTGAAGTCCATGGGCAACGGTAACCACTCACCATCAGGTGGGCCGTATGCTCGTCTGCCGACAAGGACAATAAAAAAAAAAAAAAAAATAGAAAAAAAACTTTTAAACTATTCGCGCGCCATCTATAATTGGGACAGTTTTTTGGTAAATCTTTGTCCCTACCTAATCACTGGTAGTCTAAGAAGCTGTTTCAGCTATACAAAAGCTTTGGTGAGTCGATGGGATTGGACCTCGATTCAAAGGGTGGGACAGCCGTTGTAACTATATTGAGACCTTAGAAATCATATCTCAAGGTGGGTAGCGGCATTTACGTTGTAGATGTCTATCGGCTCCGGTAACCACTTAACACCAGGTGGGCTGTGAGCTCGTCCACCCATAAGGAATAAAAAAAAAGTAAACAAAATATTTTTATTTATTACACACACCGGAAGGTAACCACAATTTCGCTTAATACTACCACGTAGCAATCATGGGTTCCAATTTGTACAGTGGGAGAGTCATCAGAACGACCTTGAGACATCAGACCGTAACCTCAACTGTGTGTCAAGAAATGTGTCGCGATCCACAAATACACTATCAAGATAAGACAATAAGGTATTAGATTTTGAAGAAACCAGATTCTCTTAACAGGTTTGAAGGTCAAATGGCCACAGCACTGCGTAAAAACCAGATAAGACCTTGTAGGCAATGCCTCAGATAGAATAAAAGTATTATAGTCTACGCATATTAAGTATTTATTGTTTTAGTAACGTCTTCATTTGATAAACACGGGATCTATGGACCAGAGAGGAGGCTACCGGCACCGTAAACCCCATACTTTATTTATTTATTGCTTAAATGGGTAGAAAAGCTCACAGCTCACCTGGTGTTAGGTGGTTACTGGAGCCCAGATATCTACAACCTAAATGCGCCACCCACCTTGAGATGTAAGTTCTAAGGTCTCAAGTATAGTTACAACGGCTGCCCCACCCTTCAAACCGAAACGCATTACTGCTTCACGGCAGAAATAGGCAGGGTGGCTGTACCTACCCGCGCGGACTCACAAGAGGTCCAACCACCAGTAACACTAATGTATGGTGTGTATATATTTGTAATATAATTAATATTTCAACACACCTACTATTATTTATTTTTCATGAAGTACATTTCATGAAGTATATATACTAATATTTATAATTATAAAGAGGAAAGATTTGTTTGTTTGTTTGTATTAAATAGGCTCCGAAGCTACTGAACCGATTTGAAAAATTATTGAAGTGAAACTTCTTTATCGGCGTTGGAAAAAAAATTACCGTCACATTTTTCGGTTACGCGTCACATTTTTCTGTTACGCGCCATCTTTTTTGTATTCATGTCTATGATAATAAAATCCTTTTGTTTAAACTTTATCTAATTTAACTTTTTTGTATTCATGTCTATGTTAATAAAATCCTTTTGTTTAAACTTTATCTAATTTAACT